GGGGAGCGGGGAGGAGCCGCCGGTCCCGCTGGGCGCTCACGGGCTTTGCTCGGGGCGGTTCGGGGTTTGTTTCCCCAGGAAAACGCCACGAACGAGGAGATCCTGCTCTCGCTGGAGCACGTTCGTCCTGGCAAGGGGTACAAGCCCAATTTCATCATGTTCGAGAAGTGCGAGGTGAACGGGAAGAACGCGCACCCCCTCTTCACCTTCCTGAAAGAGGCGCTGCCCTTCCCGCACGACGACCCCTCCTCGCTGATGACCAACCCGCAGTACATCATCTGGTCCCCGGTCTGCCGCAACGACATCTCCTGGAACTTCGAGAAGTTCCTCATCGGCCCCGACGGCGTGCCCTTCAAACGCTACAGCCGGCATTTCGAAACCATCAAGATCCAGAATGATATTGAATTGCTTCTGCAGAAAGTTCCCAAGAATGTTCTCGAATAAAGCAAAGCGCCGTCGCGTTTGCCGCCCGGCATCCTCGCTTCCTGCCCCGCTCACTGCACTCCTGTCTGTTTTTCTTGCAGGGGGCTGCTGCTCTGGCAGAAATCCCAATGTCTTGTGCAGGTTTTGCTTGTGATGGTGCATCTTCCAAATCCTTGAAGTGTACCTGATGTTTTCAAAAGCTGCATGTGAATGTTTGGGAAACTATGCCAGGGAAAGCAGGTGTGAGTCTCAGTAGCTCACTGTGATTCTCTGAATAAATAAAAAAAAATTGTACTTTCTTTAAGGCTCTGGTGTGATAAATCCAGGCGAGTTGCGTGAAATGTGGTGGCCATGTTACCTGTTCATCAGCTCGTGTGGGTGCTCACAGGGGCTGACTCAAACCTCTCAAGCGTGATAGTGCAGTCAGGCTGAAATTTGAACGCAAACATAGGGCAGTGCGATGGGCAAACAGCGTTTGTGAGCTCTGCAAACTGAATCGGTGCCACATCTCATCCTGCGTGTAACAAGCTTGGCGGAGTAGGAGGGCAGCACACAACAGAAATAACCTTGCCAAACTGCTTACCGGACCTCACTCGAGGCCTGCCTGCAGAGGACACGGTGGCACGTGGCCAGGGTGTGATTTTACAGTGGCTGAGCTCCCAGTTTGGCTACCAACAGCAGGTCACGACAGGTTAGTAACCATTCAGGCAAGTAGACTGAGAGATTCTGCAGTCTGGACTGCTGCAGGCTGATGGCAGAGGGCTTGGTGAAGAAAAGCCTGTCCTCACCTTTGTCCAAGAGCCACTGTCCCCTTGCTGGCTCCGCTGGCTCCTGGCTCTATCCCATTTTGCATTGGCGGTAGCCCAACACGAATCTCCACATACTTGCCCAGTGCTACATGAAGCCCATGTCACCTCCATGTATCCCCAACACCTTGCAACACAGAGAAGCACACAAAGAACTAGCTCTTTTGTGTTCCCAGTGCAGAATACCAGCCTATTCAACTGCCGTGGGAGTTTCAGCTTGGAGTTTCACTGCTCAGAGTGTCCATGTTGCCCTTTGGGCACAGGAATCACATGTGACACTCCAGGCATGGGTGCACCAGGGTTCAACCAGTATTTTCTTCTTTTTACTCCTTCCCTAATGCTTTTCTGACTCCTGCCGACCACAGAGCTGAGAGATATTTCATGGAGTTGTTACAATAATTCTCATGCTGTTCCTGTGCAGTGATCCTGGTTTTACAGCCCCCCGCTGAACAGCTGGAATAAGGATTGGTTCACCTTGGGAAACCATGAGCCTGTGCTAAATTTCACCTGCCATCTTACTGCCCAGTGGCTCAGGTCCTTCTGCAGGTAAATTTTCACTCCTTAAATGGCTCTGCGAGCACATTTGCATTACAAGCTGCTCCTGAAGTGGCCTCGTAGCACTGAGTATAAACTTGGTGCTGGACTGAGGAATACTAACGCAGACTAGAAACTCGGGCTTTCAAAGGGAAGGCATAACACTTTCAAGCATTAGTCCACTGTTTTCATAATTTAAAAACATGGAATTTGAGTGGTTTTGTTTTTTTCCTGTTGATTACTTCTCACCTCACCTCAACTGCTGCTACCCCTGAGTCATCGAGCTTTGAACTCAGATTGCACAATCCTCAACGGGCTATTTCTTAACAGTACAGCTTTGTGGAAAAAACAGGATGTTTTCAGTAGCTGTTTCAGCTTTGGAGCAGAAGCTGCTTGATTTGGGGGATTATTTCTTCAGTTAAATAGACTTCCCTCATTAATGCAGGGTGTTGAAATAGGTGGAGAGTACAGAGGATGATGGGCAGCAGGAACTCATTGCATTGAAAAATCATTCTCAACATGAGCTGTGGCACTTCCTCAATCCTGACTCAATAAACTCAAGCCATTCGAGCGAGAGCTCCTTTGCTTTGCCTGCTCTTTACCAGCCTGTGGCCCCAGCTGAGCCCCACCGCCGCTGAGGAGCAGATCGCAAGGCCCACTGCTGTCCCAACGGCAGCCATGCCAAAACAGGTCTCTTGACGAGCTTGCCGGACAGAAAGGCACCTCACTCTGTGCTTACTCAGTGCTAACGGCCAAGGGATTTATTTACCTTCCGGCTGCTGGGGCTCTGCTAGCAGAAAAACAAAGGAGCAGCTCCAGAACAGACACAGCCACACCAGCAGAAGTACAGTGACGTGATTCCAGAATGAAAATTAGCCATGCCAGCAGGAAAACGACTGATCCCAGTGTAAGCACACCAGCAGCAACTCTGCAGTGTAGATAAAAGCCTCCCAGCCTTGTCATTCCCCGTCTCGTTTCAGCATTCCCCCAAGTAGCTGGCTTCTGGGGCAAAGTGGGCTGCGGTGGAGAGGGCAGCCTGTGGGCTGGAAACCTTGGAACATCCATAGAAGAGCACAGCGCCCACACAGGCTCTTGTGCCCAAATGTTATTTGGAGTCGTGATCGGAGGGGGAAGATGACGTTTCACTACAGGTAGCAGCTCTATGCCCAGGGTAGACCTGAAGAATCCCAGGTGATTCCTCAGGGATTATAAAATGGCCCAGTTCTATTTCTGTAATTTCAGGGAGAAACAGACTGACTCAGTAGGAAACCTTAAAATAAATACTGCTACTTGAGCACACTTGGATTCCGTGGCTTGAGGATGCCATCCTTTCAACATCTTGTGTCTGTCACATACACATTCCTATGCTCTTACTTTTTTCCACTTCTACACTTTTATTGCAAATAGCTAATCCCTCTGTTAGTGTTCATCCTGCTTTTCTATTCTTCTGCATATCAGAGTTCCATATATTCCCCACTTTAGAGAATGTTTGGCCACCCCTTTCTCCCCCCTCCCAATGGTTCCCTCCCCTTTTTAGCTGCTGATAGTTGCCATCAACTTCTGAAACTTTAACCAAGTTCAGATATTTGAAGCTGTCAGGAGCATTAACCAGCTGCAAAGAAAATTCCCCTTCCTGCCCCATCTCCCTCTCCCTGGTTCCCTAGTGTTCCGCCCACCAAACCTTAGCACATCTCCTGAAATCCTGGCTGATGAGATGTGGTGTTCAGAAGTGTCTACTCAACAGAAACGCCATCAAGTGGAGCTTAAGACCTTTCTTACTCAGCCTGTTAAATGCTCTTCCAGGTATTTAAAATCCCTTTGTCCTCCTGCTGAGCTTTGTTGCACCCACTTTTAAGACAGCTTTTAGTCATTGTTTTTGACCATTGCCATCATAAGGCAGGTGGGAAACACCTGCCTCCAACCGGGTGGCACTCAAAAGGGCTTTGTTGCTGTCGGTGCCACTTTCCTGCAGCCAGCAGCCATCAGGTTCAGCTGGAGACAAGGGCAGGAAG